CCCTGAATCAACGCGGAGCCGCTCACCGACCCAAGAAGGTCCTGAGAGTAACGGTTTTAATAAATGACACGGGGATCCCAGTTCGACGCATTTGAGCCATAGGGAAAACGGGTGGAGGGACTCCGTCCAGTGCTGGTCCCTGACTGACACTTCCATTGAGGCACCCGTCAAGAAGGAAGAGGAGGGAAGGGGGAGAGCTACGGTCCAGCACCAGCGAGATCCCGGGATGTCCGACACGTCCGGATGTCCGGTCCGTCGGGATGTGTATCGCGACGAACCGAGCGAAAACGAGTCAGAGGCCTCGGGCTCTGACGCGAAAACGAGTCAGTGGCCTCGAGCTCTGACGCGAAGATGGCGGCGTGCCCGACTGAGCTGGCAGTGTTTCGACCGCGGACGGGCTGCACCACGGACATGTCGCGCGTGTGTGGCGGGGTCCCGTTTTCGGGCGAGGGACGACGCGCGCGTTGCTACGTTCTTCATTTGGCATCCGGGCTGCCCCGTCCGCCGGCCCGCCGCGGGCGTGGCTGCCGGCCGGACCGTCGAGCTGGGCAGCCTCTGGGCTGGCCTGTGTGTCCGAGCTCCGCGTCCAACCGAATGCATATGATTATTCCCGCACATATACAATGCTTGAGCGGAAGCATCGTCGGCAAATTTGTCGGGCGGCGGTTTGTTTGGCGGACGGGCTGTAATACTGATTGGGGCTTTACGTCTCACCGGCTGCTAGGGCTATTCAAGTCCAGAGATGAGCAGCCAAACCATTAACCACTATGCCACCATCGCCCCCTGCGGCGCGAACTGCACCCGTGTCGAAAAACTCCAGACTAGTGTTGCTGGACGCCAAAATTTTATACTTGGAAGGTTCTGAAGTGTAAACGGAAGAAGGCGTGTCAAGGTTGATAAAGTGGATGGCGAATGCAAGCTACGATTCTCCCAAATCATTCAGCTTATATATCGCAAACTAGCTCAGTGGCATACACTCGGCTCCACTGTTCAGATGGTGAATCAACAGCGGCTTTAAACGCGGCACGTGCGTAGTGTTTTGCATGACGTTTGGCAGATAGTTGAATACATTTGCAGTCAACGTTGGCTTTTTTACTTCCTATTCACTTGCAACCAGAAGTGCGGTTCCCTATTCAGTTACATGGGTTTCATCCCCCGCCGTATCTTGGGCTGCAGCCTGCAAACTTGTGAACAAGTGAGCCAAATTCGGAGAGAAACTAATTTGTTGGCGTATTATCGCGGTACCCTTCGTTGCATTTTCATCGCCCAGCCAGCCAACTTATTTTTGGAAATTACGCCCCCGTTTAAAACGTGCCTAACTGAAGAAACAAATCATTTGCAGGCTGGGTTATTTGAACGTGTCTCACCAGGGAGAAGTATCCGGATTCAGCTCATGAGAAAGCCCCCATCCCCTCTTTTTGAGAGTAAAGGCATGCAGAATTCAGAATAATTCCCGTTTGCAGGAGCGTGTGAAATAATTTGCAATTGGGGGGAGGGAAAACAGCCAAATCAAATCATAGTCCGTCCCGATGGCTCAGTTGGTTTGAGCACCTGCCTCCTGATTCACTCGCCCGTGGCGGGGTGGGTTCAAGTCGCTTTAGGCACTTGCTATTTGTCCTTGACAGGTACGGCCTGCGGCCGGCGGCAGCGATCGCGGTAAAGGTCAGTTGACGTCAGAGGGCAGGACGGACCGTGCCGAGCGTTGCGGCACGTTAAGGTTTCGCCACTAAATTCTGCCGTTGCCTGGAATTGCGCGATCGGATGGTAGGGGTCAGGGCTCACACAAGCACTGCTTAGCGTGAGCGCTGGTCCCAGAAATACATCCATTGAAAGTGTTCGGATCAAGTTTCTAAAAGTAAAAAACTAACAATAGAGGTAAGCGTGCCACGAGCTGGAGATCTATATGCGCGCCTACCTGGAGCAGACATGAAATCAGTCAGCATTACACATCAGTCGTCAACTCCCTCAAAAAAATAAGTTGCGAAACACCACCAACACAGACAGTAAATAGTGGAACCAAATACCGCAAATAACTTCATCCATTGTCCATTGCGAACCTTTGTCGCCTGAACCAGACGATCTGGTAAGGCCAGAGAGCCTCCTCCATGTGGATTTGCGAAAATGCATTTTTTTAAAGCCCAGCAGCGTCACGTCAGCTCTCGTGAAGGCTGTGACATAGCGGTTCAAGGATCGAAAATCCAAGACCAGTCGCATTTTCACCTTCTGCACTACCGCCATCAACGTTATCGATCCCTCGGGTGACCCCAGCTGAATCTCCTCGCACCCACGCGGCCAGCTGTCCCTGATCCAGCTGTCAAGCTCCGTTTTGTACTCTGCGTGGGATTCCGCCGGCACCTGGTACTCGTCTGCCACGCTGAACAGCTCACTCGGCGGGCTGCCCCGGGCCCACTTCCATGACTCTATCCAGCACCGCTGGGTCGGGTCAAATGCCACGCAGGAGTCCTCTTTCTCGAACCTCAGTTCGTCCTTGTGCTGCAGCTCCTCGGCAGCGGCAACACACGCCGCACTCACCTCCTCGCAGGCAAACTACAAATCAGAGAGCGAGCGGACGGTCATTTACCTAGAGCCTGCACGGCTTCCATTCCCATGATCAAGCCACAACTGAGAGGCCTTCCCTGGCCACCAGGGCGCTGACCGCCACTGTCCAGTGGTCAGGGAAAGCCACCACCGACGGCATACTGACTCGTGCGACAGAGTTCGCGTGCACCCAGAATCAGTTAGCTCCGCTCCGCACACGACGCCCTGTCGACGCAGAACTCTCTCACCGGTAGCGTGCTAGTTGGATCCGTCAGTCGCGAAAGAGGAGGCCGGCGCAGGTGTCTCCCCTCGCTCCCCGTTCGGGCAACGAGCGGTGATATCTCTGCAAGCCCGAAAACGGCGACACTGAAGGGCGGGCGGATCGCTACTTCCACTTGCCGGGAACGGGCTCGAGCCGCCACCTGCAGCCGACCACGTCCGTCAAACTAGCGTCGTATTCGTCGTAAAAGCGGTCTCCCCAGGTCAAACCCAACGCACCTTTTCACAATTATGCAATGCTCTTTTTTCAAGTGCTTAGTCTGATCTCTAAAGGTCAGTGAAAAATCAAAACTTGGGTTTCCACAACACAATCTTAGAACCGTCGAACCATATTTTTCAATCTAAGTTCTAACATCGAGGACGCAAATTAAAGGGGCTGAAATCCGCGGAAGAATCGGGATTTGGGGGTAGGTAAGGTCGACTCTATTTGCTCAGCCCGCTCCCCGAAAGATCCGTGAAATTGACATCCCTGCACCTGAGGCACGCACCGTATGGGCTGTGTTACTTGAAGCTCACTCCAACACCCGGCAGACGACGGCGCACAGGCGCCGCGGGCGCTATCCCGCTGATCAGCGCGTGAGACGCGGACGGTGCAGCTGTGGGGATAGCTGCGAACAGTGGGCGTGGCCGAAGGAGCGGTGGGTGGCCATCGCAGGTGAGGAGCGCGGGAGTGCCATCAGATTGGGGAGTCGTCACAATGGAATCCAGACGGGGGTGCGAGGCACTCCTTGACCTAGGTGCACAACGCCAGACCTAGTGACCGCGCCGGCGACGCACCGACGGTAAATCAATGTGATAAGTTTAAAATAGGGCACACACACACATGAATCTACTCTGTAATTCGAGATGGATGAAACTGGCTCCGCCCCTCAAGTCCTCGCCAAGTTTTACCATTCATATTTTCGAGGCGCTGGAAAAGGGGTATGAGGGGTAACTGGAGGAAGTCTCATGCCACATGCGTGACTGCGACATGTGGAATCACATGGGCGCCAGCGCATGGACACGCTGGGGTGTATGTGGCAAGGCCCGAATAAACGAAGAGCGAGAGGCTTAGGCAGGGACGAAGCCTTCCAGCGTCGACCCCTCGCCAGTGAAATTCAGCGGTCGCGCGGGATGGGGTTCCATGCGATTTCGGTACGGTACGCAACCCGATTTGGGTACGGTATGCAACCCGATTTCGGCGCGCATACCGGGGAACTCAAGGCAGGTTAAACGCCGCTTGTGCACCAACGCCTGTTCGCGCACTATTAAACGTGTGAAATTGCGGTTACGGGATCACAGCCACGTGCGGAAAGCCACGCGTGGTGCCTGACCGGCCCCACCCTTCCGCCCATCAGCAGGTCACCCGCTTTTTGCAAACTGTATGGCTCACATTGCGTTGATGCCGGACGCGTCGGAGTCTGTCCCCACGTGTCGGGCCGCACGCTGAGAATCGTCCAACTCGTAGACCGACCAATGGGTCTCTCCGGTACAGGAGTGCGCAGAAACGCCCCAACAAACATCAGGGAAGCGCCCGCGTAACACCGCGCAGTGATTGCCGATGCGGTACACCAGCCACAGACCGAGCCCGCCGAGATACCACAGATACCACGCTGAGGTACCGCAAATACCCCACCGCGATACCACCGATGCCACGCCGCGATGATATTACGCCGAGACATCCCGCAGTTTCACACCCATCACTGCGTTTTTTTTTGTGTGTGTTTCTGTGCGGATGGCATCCAAACATATGCAGATGATGTAGCAAAGGACTGTGAAGGGCATACTACATGAAGATGATCGTCCAGAATGCGATAAGCCATGGTGTTGGATACGACCCAAAATATATATCATTGTTTCTAATGAGATGTGCACACGCTTGTTTCGACTATAGTTCAATTTTGACCATTCCATCGCTCCATGACCATTCGCAGTCGACGTACTTGAGCCATGACCGTGGGGGTGCCGGTAGTGTGGTGGTTAACGCGTCTGCGTTGACGGATGCCGCGAAGCGATGCGTGGCATCTGTTCACGACATCCGCGATGCGTGGATCGTAACGCGTCTGCGTTAACAACGGCGCGTCTGGGAAACCAGAGGTACGGGTTTCGCATCCCGCGGTGCCCGCCCTTCCTGCCAGGGTGAGAAGCAGGCGACGCCATGTAGCCTCAACAGCTGAGTGCGTCGTAATGTCCCAATGACAACATTAACCTTGACCGTTTATTTTTGCCTTTGGTCGTGGAGGCGGATAGTTTTGCACGTGCCATGCGGCATATCAGAAACTCGATAAGGACACGCCCGATTGTGCAAACTCGCGTCCCCGCATCTAGTGCGTGCTGCACTGGACCGCGAGTTTGCCGCCTCTCGGACGCCGGTGCGGATAGCACCTCTCATGAACTCGGTGCAGCTAGAGGCCCACTGAGCACAGACAACCGCGGCTGTGGCGCCGGAATTGGCCAGCTGCAGTTGGCTGCCACGCACACATCCATAATGGGACTTCAACGAAGGTCAGTGCAGATGAGTAACACACAACGACACGAGCACATGGTGCTCTCCTTCTTCGTCAGTTTTTCATAGGCGTTTTTTTCAGGATGCCTGTGAAGCTGAGTTGAGGCGTGCAGCTGCCGAGTCGCTTCACCGACGTCAGCACTTCACCGCTGACCCAGGTCTCCTGGAGGTGATCCTCAGCTTGCTCTTGCGCTCCATGCTCTTCTCCATCCGCTTCAGCTCGTCCAGCGTCATGTGGGTCTTTGGCAGGTCTATCTGCGCGTCCAGCCGTCTCATCTCGCTGTCGTCCTCGCCCACAGTATCCGATACGGGAAACTGCAGCACCTCCTTGCGCTGGTACACGGCGCTGACGACGTTCTGGCGCTCTCGGTCTGCCGAGTGCACGTCTGGGACGGACGGCCTGGAGAACTGGCTGAGCAGTGCGGTCATGGGGCCGCGGCGTCGAGCGACCGGGTTCGGTGTGGCGGGCGTGGCCGCCGGCCGGTCGGCAGAGTACACAGGCAGGCCGAGTGCCCTCCGTCGGGCCGCCACCCTTCGGTCATGTTTCTCGACTTCTTCCGGCGTGGTCGGCTGCCAGTGGCTCTTCAGCAGCTTCTGTGGATCGAACAGGCCACACACGTCATACCCAAGAGTGATTCACAACGCCTCTACATCGGTGTCATGATACCGATTTAAACCGACAGCCCACACTTTCAAAGCAAATTACTTCATAGTTTGAAAAAGTGAGTGATGCATCCCGGCAATCAACAGCGGAGTGCGGGAACTCCATTGCCGTTCTCAAGTAGGCAAAATATCGTCGGAACTCCAGGTCAACTCCTTACACATATTCCCGGCCTACCCCTGGCACAGTTTGCTAACGCCTCAGTAGTCTGTGCATGCGCGACAGGCCCGATCCACGCACTATGACCGCGCTGGACGACAGATTGAAAGCGGCAGCCAGCCTCTGCGGCCTCCAGTGCGCTGGGTCGTCGGCCGCCAGCCGCCGCAGCTCCAGCTTCTGTGCGGCGGTCAGCAGGTTTGGCTCCTGTGGGCCGCGCTCCACGGCGCGGCGCGCCTCGTTCCAGTTCATGTGTGCTCGCACCCGCCGGTACTCTCTGCCGGAGTCGGTGGACATGGTTCAGGAGCTGTGCACGAGATCATGCGGTCCGAGTCGACTTTCGCCCTCACGAAACCGTCACAGGATTCCGTTTGCGTCACGGCGCGACAGCGCCAACAACCTTTACAGTGATGTATACGTGCTCAAATATGGCATAAGACAATCATTATCAAATCACCGTTGGATAATTTGCACACATATAAGCCCCACGCATCTCATCAAATTCGAGCAATGACCAAGAAGCCTTAAAACTACACCTCGTCTTTTCCAAATGCACTTTTCAATTTGGCCAGCCTTATTCAACGCGGCCGTATCCATTTGGACAAGTGTGGTAGAACGGCTGAGGAATTCGGCGTGATGCTATTGAGTTTCGGCAATAGCGAATTTTCAAATTTAGCGGTTTGACTAAACTCAAATATTCCATCACAACGGCACATCTACCCAGATTTGAGACGAATATGAACAAAGTCCGCAACCATGACAGAAAGTAAACGGGGGGTAGGGCTGCCAAAAACCCAATATATTTCTGAGCATTTTGCGCCGGATTCTTCAGTCCTGCTTCTATGCCATTGGCGTTTTCATGGAAATATTGTATTTCCTTCGCATTTTTTTGTGATTGTTAACCGTTTACAAAACGCAGACGCGTTTACGTTTACTCCGCTGTATATTTCAGACCAAAGAGTCTGCAATCACTGTTCACAGAAAAAGCGCTTACCAGTTCCCACAGTAATCATACGATTAACTTAGCCAAAAACGTGAAGCTGCATCAATTCCATTCATGAACAACACAATCGTACATAGCAATGGAACGCTTCCACTTCTCGGCCTTTTTATACTTTCAACGGTCTTGCACTACCCAAACTACGCCTGCTCTTTACGGCCTTAACGCACGTTCATGCATACGAGTGAAGGTTGGTCCCCCTTAATAACCCAAGTTCACCCGGATGATTTTGCTATATATATATATATATATATATATATATATATATATATATATATGCGGGCGTGCGGGCGTTTGTGTGTGTGCGCGCGCGAATGAAATAATGCAAATACATCTAAAATTAAACATAAACAGGAAACCACGTTGAACCATATTGCCAGCTACGCAAAGTCCACGGCTTCTAATGGCGCCGGGCTCCAAGAGATGTCAGGTTAACAGCATCCGACAACTATTAAATGTTGTTTGTTTAGTTTTAAAGATTTATGAAATGTTCTCCAAGTTGTTTTATGATAACCGTTATGGTTGTTATCACCGTTACGCAGAGCGGATCAGCAGGCGGGGCTTTCCGTCCCCACAGGCGCTTAACCCCCGCCCTGATTCGCCTTTTTTCATAACGCAAACTAATACGGGGACGGGGGGGGGGGGCAACGCTGCCCTCTGCCGTTCTCAAACTAAAAAAACATAGATCTTAGCGGAAAACATCAGTTGATTGGTCTCAACGAGATCTCGCGATTAATACAAAGTTTCATATTGCTAAGTCAATTATGCCAAGTCGGAGGCAACGTCTTCCCAAAAATCGCACCTTTTACCTTTTCACGCTCATACGCACAAGACCATACCTTGTCGCCACACCAAGCCTCAAGAGATGTGCTCTTTGTCCAATTCTGAGTGCAATGGTATGTAGTTTTGTGTTTTGAGCATATAGTTATGACGTATGGCTCCGTTAATGTAACAAAGTCGGTCCGCCGCGAGTGTTCCACGGCATCGTTGGCTGCCGACAGTCGCCCGCAGACCAAGATGCAGCATTCCTTAGAAGAAAAAAAACGCCGCTGCTCCGGAACCAGAAATGCTAGGGACACCGCGTTTTTTGGTGTCGAAACGCGCGCAAAGGATGCCCTGACAATTTGGGCGCGATTGCACGACATGATGGAGGGGTATACTAAAAAACTGATCGGTGTAGGGGTCGCATCGATTTGGTGTGGTGTTCGTGGGGGGGGGGGGCCCTCCCTGTAAGGGCAAGGGTTAAATGTGAAAGGCCGCTTTGACAAATAACTAACTGGTCATGTTAAGAATATCCAGGTAAGGGAAAGTCGCAGACTGCACGTTCCAGTCATTCATACCGAAAATCGCCTACAGTTAGCTCAAAATGCATTGCATAAAAGCACCCAACATTGTAATATCTACTTTTAAATTATGTTATCATCAACAAGTCTTTAAACAGCATTTTATACAGTCCGCAAGCGATGCAAAAAAGGCAGGCAAGAGAATTAACTCCCCAAAGATAAATAAGAGCCCGGAAAACCCAAAAAAGATCCAGGCATGACCAATAGCATTGTCAGACAGACTGTTTCATCAGCATGCAAACAAGTACCTAGTCATGCCTAGTCACTGACAGATAGGCTGGAGTGACCCGTCTGACATAAGTCCTGAAATCAAATAAATTACAAATTAACCATATGCATTTTTTATCCAACATAAGATCCCAGGTACCAACCATGGCGCACCACTAAACCAAGCTATCGTGCCACAAATAATACTATTACGCATGTGCAGCGTAAATTCTTCAGGTAATCATTGTGATATCGTAAAAGAACACAACAAACATTAATGTCAACTATATGCAATAACGTGCGTACACGAACACCGTGTTGTTCGGTGTATTCGCCTGTTTAATCATAGACAAGTATGCTGGTCATGCTCTGGCATTACATTTGGCTAGATTACGATCGATTTTTTTTTGACAATGAGTTCTCTCATGCAGATTACGGCGGTTTTCCCCTTCTCTCGGTACAGTTCCGGCACACCCGGTATGGAAATGGGCGCAATGGTTGACCAAAATGCTCCCCGGCTTTTTCAAGCTTTCAGGTAAGATGCACTGGCCATCCCCATTGATATGCGCGTGAACTGACGCCTTTCTTTCGCAAAGTGGCGGTAACCTTTCTTCAGCTACATGGGCCACGGTAGCCCACCCCCACCCCTTCCGCAGATGTCCACAAGGGTGACAACGAAAAACGCTAAATGTGATGACTGATGTAAATTTTCGAGCTTAACAGAAAATCTAGGTTGCTTTTACGAACGTAAACCCGTTTTAGAACCCTTCTACAGGTAAAAGGGAAGGGCAGAAAATGACCATTGACTTCGGAGAGCCTTAAAGCTCCCATCATCATCGAGGTTAAAAAGCTCGATCCCGTGGATTTTCGAAGACCAAGATACCTCAGTGTGCTTCGCCCAAGCTAGCATCGCCACCTCCCAAGGCGGCGTCCTGGATGCACCCTTGCTCATCTGTGACTATAAACCGTCACATCATTCAAAAACGAAGATCCCGAACATAGGCAAAGCAACGCAATAGAAGACAGCGCCGCTAATACCAATCCACAGTCTGCAACATCCAAACTTCAACGACTGTTTGCTTACAACGATCAATGCCCCTTCATTTTCGGCCGACATCGCTGTGCATTCAGCACCGAGCCCCGGCCATCCCAAGACGGGACACACAAAGAGCGCTTAAAGTAACTCGAACTCACGCCGTCACGGGTGGGCAAATCATCGAAGGCAATGTAACCAATTGAACTACCGGTACGAAAATCTCCAGCAACACGGGTTCGCAGAAATCGGCATACCACTAACTTCCTTGCAACAGTATAACCAACCTCTGAACTGCACCTGCCATCTTGTCTGGAAGAAAAAAGCTGACCTCTTCGTCGTCTGGGATAAACTGATCTGCTTCACCCATGTGTCGTTGACTTTTAAGTGGCAGCTGTCCATTCATGTCTGCAGAACGCCAAGCACTATCAGCACACACACACGCACACGCACACGCACACCACACGCACGCACGCACGCACACACCACACACACCACACACACACACACACACACACACACCACACACACACACATATATATATATATATATATATATATATATATATATATGATTGTTCTGTGAATCAATGACAAAACATGGCGCACACCTTTAGTGCCCCTTCGTCTCTGATCACCGGGCTTTTGATGCTTCCTGCTGACACCACTTTGGCCTGAAAAGTTCCTTGCGGCATGACGCCTCAGCAGAAAACTCATTCTTGTCATGCATGACATGTTTCACCCTGGGAGGCAGTATCTGAAACACAGGTATTTTGAAGTAACTGAAGGGTTCAAGACTAAAACATTTGCTTAGTTAGCTTTCACCATAAACTAAATTATGCTCCACACAAGCAGTCTTGAAGCTTAACTAATGTCCGACAGCTGACCTATCACTTTTCCCGTTGGTACCAACACTAAATCACAAGGAAAACATAACGTCACAATGAAAGTTTAAGCACCATTGTGGAGGCTGTGAATGTAAAAAGATTATGATGCAAAGAAAAACCGTCACAAAGAAAATATCACATCTGAAAGCATCTTAGGAGAGTAAGCTACAACTTCTTAGGCTTTTAATTCAAAACAGTCCCTCGGGTAGCGACAATCGGTGTCTGAGTAATAAGTCAAATGGAGAGTTTTGAATGGAAAAAATCAAATGAAGGAGGTCCAACAAGTAGACAGGGATAAAAGTCAAAGGACAAAGAGTCAACAAGAATAGAATTTGACAGATATAAAACTGAAAAACCTCCTGTGCACCATGCACAGCCAAAGGTAATGACTATGCACAGCAAAAACAAATTATCCGTGACCATCATGGCTATGTTGTTAAATGACCATGTTCTGAAAATTTTCCGGTATCCTCTCTCGGTGCGGAATTTCATCTGGGTAATTTTCGGCATTGGTATTGCCGAGCGCCATTCCGGAAAATTTTCCAAATTCCGAATAATTTTCCTGGAGAATCTGCCAGCCGAACGTGGCCAAGACAAGGGGTCCAGCAACAGCCAAAATCTGGCTCGGAATGTATACACAGATCCGGCGAGAGCGAAGATCAATCCTGTAAGTATATCAAGAGATGCAGCAAAAATTAAGATCCGGCGAACAGTATGGAAAAAATATCAAGGTTGAACCCAGACCAAGACCAGAATTGCGCTGCTTATCCAACAGGAACAACCAGTTGAGACACCGAAACACGTGAGAACCAGGATCCAACCTGGAATTACGTCATAAACCACCGGATACCGGAAAACCGGATACACACACAGTGTTCCTATATTATGCACGTCCCACTTGTAACGATTACGTGAACATGCAACATATCTCATATTTCAGACGACAAACCTTAAATGGTAGATAACTGACAAACGACAACCCGAGCTGGTGTTTACGACTGAACCAACCAAAGGCGGCTGGGATGTTTTTTCCTGAAGGTATCATTAGGAACGAAACCAGAGTCCTGTGTTTGTGAGGAACCGATGGGAGACACGAACTAGGGTCTTGTCTTTTCGGTGAACTTTTTAATGAACAGACCAGTAGGATCGACAGACCAGGGCCTAGTATTCGTGAGAGAACTAGCGAGAACCAAGAACCAGGGAATGGTGTTCATCGAAAACCAATCGGAGCCAGTAACTAAGTCTTGGTGTTTTTGAGGGCACCAAAAACGCCTACCTTAATTCATGAATGAACCGATGACGATCATGAAGTATGGCGTGGCGTTGGCAATACAACCAATGATTATTTTGCACTTGAGTTTTTAGGGGCGAGTCGACAGCAACGGTCATTTCGCGACAAAAACAACCAACAAGGGATCCAGAAGCCAGAGCGGAGAGCTGTGAAAGAAACCAGCCGGAACCACGACCCCAGGCGACGTTTTCAGGAGGGGAAATGAGAACCAGAAGTCAGTATTAGGAACCAGCCATGTGCCTGGTCAGGAATGTGCCATGTACCTGGTCACCGGAACTGTCGAAAAGCCGACCGTCCCAGCCAAGCAGTGACTACAGGTATTAAGAGAGATTGATATAGGCCAGCCGCGCCCTCACAGCAGACTGGTCACCAAATGGCCTCAGGGCGCGCTGCGCATGGCTCAATGGAGAAGGTGCGAAGGCTGGCTGGCGCCCGAGATTTTGCTGGGCGGGCGCCAGCAGGCCCGGGTAAGATGGGGCCGATAAATACGAGGTAGCTTTGCTCCTTGGAGCCACAGAATCCGTGTGCAGCAGGTGTCAAATTTGGTCGTTCGACTTTTCTGATGCATGCTTTATCTTTCACAATATTTATTCCACTAAACTAGTTGCGATGAGTGGATCAAATATTGTGACTGATTTAAATTTTCCATTTGGCATTTCCACGGGCCTTTTGTCCAGGAACCAGGTTGATCCATCAAAAATGGGGGCTGACTCGTTCAATAGGCAAATGGCAAGGGGCGATCAATGAGTTGTTACACAGCTTTGAACATTTTTAAAACCCCTCTCCAAGGTTTTGTTAAATTCTCGCGTCGTTGGCTAGCGCGCCGCGTCAGCCGTTACCGCGAAATATCACATTGCACCAACTGGTCACATCAATGCTTCGTGGTGCAGGTTGATACACACTTGCTCCGCCTGCCACACGCTATGGGTGTGTGAGCCCGGAAGAGTTCGTTTAGTGTTCACCGAGGAGAAACCCCAGCCAAGCGCAGCAGGAAGGGAGAGATGAGCTCACTGCACCTGTTTGTTACACACATTGCTCGACCAAGCATTACTCGAAATGAACCGGTTGCTTCCTACTCCAAACACTGATGCTCGTCCTGGAATTTATCCTTAGCATCAAACCACTATGAATGTTCACTTCATACCAATCAAAACACAGAGTGCAGACAGTTAAGAACACATGAAGGAAATCCCTCACCCGTGAAGTCCACAGAGTCCCACCCTCTTAAGCCAGTCCCCGAGAACCAGCTCCAGGGGGAGACCACGGTGCGGAGTGCCTCGAGAAACTGTTCATCACGTCCCACATCGTGCTCGCCCTGGGATGGGACGCTCGCTTCTTCACGCATGCGCGGCACTCGGCTGAGGCACCTGGAATGCCTGGTACAGCTGTTTCCGCCACCTAGCGGCTGGTCACGCCTCCAGCGCCGGCGAAGCCGACAGCCCAAGTGACGGCCGCCTGGCGGCAGGGCTCCGAACCAACCACGATGCGGTGTCGTATGCAACCGAGCCAGCCCCACGCGCGAGACGGCGCCCGCGCTCCTTCCCGCTTGTGCGCAAAAAGCCGACCGCGAGCGGCAGTGAGTCCCCGGCACCACGATGGGCGCAAAACTTAACAACTACGCACAGGTTACACTGGACAAACACCTTTGCCCAGTTATGCTGCATTAAGCATACAGCCAAAAAAGACAACATCCGTTTGGCCACTGATTAGGCTAGAAATGCAAAACAAAGACAAACATGCTACTTGCCATGAAGGAAAGCTGACAGGATCTGGCTCTAAAGTTTTAAAACATTCAAGAAGACCTTAGCATGAATTATAGTCACACCTGTGCATACTGCCACAATGCCCACCCCTTGACATGCATCAGTCACACTCTATCAAAGCACTGACCTCCATATTCATGTGTAGCATAAGATCTGGCTCATCACTATGCAGAGCCACAGAGTCTTGTGATCAAACCAGGGTGTAAAGTGAGTTTTAGTGGGTACATTTTGCTATGATATGATGATTTAGTTCTGCAAAACTGCACCCCTTATATAAAAACCCTGTGGGCTAGCAGCAACTATACCATAGACAGTAGAGCTAATGACAAACTTTGGTGGGGGCTGGCTGTAAGTCCTGCACCCTGGCACCTGGCATTACATGGACTGTGTCTAATTGAAGCCTGCCAATCTAAACCTAATCATAAACTAAGCATTAACTGCACCCCAAAGCCAACTGGGGTCTTTGACATCCATATGTAGGCCTTCCTTGAAAAATGTGCAAAATTAACATGACAAATATGGCATGCTTAGGCACTGATGTCCCTGCTGGAGGTAAGCGCTCACAGAATTACTGAAGTGCAAGAGAGCACCATTAACAGTAAGACAAGTCAACCAGTGCATTCAAAACCTTGCAGCACAATTCATCTCAAAACCATTTTTGTGGGTACTATTCCCAAGACCATTAATATATATATTCAGCCAATCACAGAGCGGTTGTCAGGGGCAAGAAGCCCCTGGGATTTTACCTTGCAACAATGTTTCCCTGACTATCCATCAACCACACCTCTATTGTGATGCTTTCTCTGGTAGTCAGCAAGCATCCACCACAGTGTATTCTCTGACATGAAATTTGGTAAGAATTTGTGCATAAGAATAAATTTTGACATTTCAAACTTAATGGCAGACACATGAAATAAGAACAGATATGAACAGGAAGTGATGTTTGTTAACAAAATAATCAAGGCACACCTATGGGAAGCTAAAACCAGCTTTGTGAAAATTTTAGCCTTGCCCAACCCATTTAGAAATTCTCCATAAGCCCCTAGGAAGAATTTATCAAAATTTCCTGAGGAGATTAAAAAAATAGTAACTTAAGCTTACCTGGCACTGTGTAAGAAATGCAAATATATTGTGGTCCAGAACACCAAGAATGTTAAGATGGTCAGTGACCGACATAACAGATGTGGTTTGGTTGGGTGCATATCAAACATTTTAAAAATCTTTTTGACAGACAAATCTGGGATCATAGCACAGCTAAGCAGAGCTTGTTGGGCTTCACAGATGCTGGTTGGGCATCACAGGTGTGGGTCTTGCACTTTGTAAACCAGTGCATCAGATGAATCAAGTACACAGCCTGCGTACTATTGGTAGCAATAGATGCATGCAGCACAAGCCATTTTTGAATAGCGTGTTAATTCGGCCTTATATACCATACACTATACAGTATCTGAAATTTAGTTCTGGCTCTTGGAGATAGAACAAAAACATGAAAATCACTAAATTTGCACTGCATTAACAGCTGGCACTAAGACATTCTTTGGTAGCAGATGAAAGTACACACCATACCCTACCTGGTCTCAGTGCATGCCAAAGACCATTAGAGACTGGCTGCTTGCAATTATTACATCTTTTTTAAAATAATTACCATTCTCAGTATGTGCTTCCTCCCTAAGTCTATGCTCACACATAATGCATTTTCTAAGCTATGGTGCTGATAGAAAGCTGTTGATATTGACAATCCTATTGCAAAGGTGTCAGTCCCAATGAAGGCTGATGGAGGCTGATGCTTAAAATGTTGCACACCTTTTGCACCATTCCCCTAGCACATTATGACAAGTTCATGACTGAAATGTAATGCATGCCACAATATCAGTACGAGCATCGATCAGGGTATACATTGCTACCTCATGTTAAAAAAGAGCATTGTACATCACTCGTCGATTTTAAGGTCATGGAATGCATTGCTACCTGATGTTAAGAAGAGCACTATACATTAATCATCGTTTTTAAGGCAGAACGTATCGTAAATAATCGTAAAACAGGTCACATAAACTCCTATCTTGGAACTTAAATGACTACGATACCGACTACCCGAGCGCTGCAAACACCCAGTGTGCGTCCGTCATTCGGGCTTTACGACGCACTCAGCTGCTGAGGCTATATCTATATGACGTCGCCTGCCTCTCACCCTGGCAGGAAGGGCGGGCACCACGGGGAATCGAACCCGGGACCTCTGGTTTCCCAGACACGCAAACACCCAGCAACCGCGACCCCGGTGCGATTGCTACGCGTGATCACAATATTACTGCGCATCAAGAACCATAAAAATGTAAGTGGCCAAGGTGACAATAATCCAATGAAATATGTTTCCTGCGTATCCAAGTAGTCTTTCGTACCGTTTGTAGATTGGTTGGCACGGGGGCAAATGTGACGTCTTGCTGCATTTGGAAACTACTGCAAGGTGTTCCAAATAATTCCTGAACACAATGTCACTAACGTGGCCTGGCCTCTGGTATCCATTTTAAAAATAGGGACAGGCTGCGGCCTGCGATTTGCATTGACTGGGTCCCTTAAGTTGACTAGCGGCCTACTGCGTCGGCCAGGGACTCGCCGCGACGTACAGTGAAATACCGTTTCATGGTATATGCATAAAGCCGCACACACACATTGTTGCGGGCTCGTGTGCGGGTAGGTGCTGCGCCGGCCCAAATACACGCTGTCTTTTTGTGTCCTATAAGCCCTGGCGCTCCCCGATAATAATCGGCCGAGGCTAGAATGTTATTATTGCCCTGACCACGATGCTCGAATTTCACATCAGCACAAGTTTCATGGCATCTGCACATAGCCGCATTCACAGCCTGTTTCAGTCTCGCATGCGGCTACATGTTGTGTTGGCTTTAACGCCGTTGTTGCGATGTGCCAAGTAGGCTGTGGTGCTCCCCGGGCACGACATGCTGAGGATGGAATGTTTCAATTGCCGTATTAAACAAAAGTGGTTTCCGGTTATGATCGCACCGATAAAAACTAAACTGCAGTGTTTGATATAGACTGACCATGCTGTGGGCCAAAACGTTAAGAGCTGTGCTTTAAGCCCAGCGCCGGCCCTGTTGGTAACTCGTTCTACTGTGTGCGTGTTGGGATGTGTACCGCTTTTCCGCGCGTCATATATGACCGTTGGACTTGATTTTTCAGGTAAACATACCTTTCATGGTTGCGGTGTGATTGTGCGGGGGGTGCGCCCTCGCCCTCGCTGTTTTCCGAGCTCTGCATCTGACTGGGTGCCGGGGGGCGTCACGTGACTGCGGGTCTCCCGATTCGCCGGAGGTCAAGGGTCGGCCGCTGAGGCGGCGGCAGAGACCCGACGCTCGCAGGTGCCAGTCGGTTTTTGGACGAGTCCGGGAGGGTACGCCGCTACGTTTTCCTGCAATGGTATATACTTATAGCCGCATGCACCCCGTGTTTCATGCTCGAAGGCGTGCGGGTATTGTGTAGACCTTAACGCACGACCTGGCTATGTACCCAATAGGCCGTGGTGCTGCTCGTGAAAAACCCACCTGGGCTAGAACATCTCAGATGCCGTTTAAACAGCTTTAGAATGATGTCCACTAGTCGTTGCACCGATAGAAGCTATATTGACACGTCTGAAATGGACAAATGATACTGGCAGCCAAAACGTAAAGATTTCGCTTTACTCCTATCATCGGCCCTTTTAGTAACTACGAGTGGGCACACCCGAATAACATTTTGTTCAGGAAGGACGGGTCAATGTCTCCATGATGATAGTGAAATTGTAGGCATAGTTTTAAAATGGTGTTGGAGGTGCTATCGTCCATTTTAACTATATTGGCACGTTTTAAATGGGCAGAATGGTAGCGGCCGAAACGTAGAGTCCGCTTATGTCTATGAACGGCCACTATTGGTAATATCGATTGGACTGATATCAATGCGAGTTTATTCATGAATCATATTGGCCTCCAGTACTTTCTAAATGTAGCAAAGTTAGGTCAGGGAGCCCAATTAAACATTTCATGGCAGGCGGTTGTAATGGAAGTGAGTATTGGTTCGAAGTGGTGATTTGGCCACCGGCGCTACCAGCCGGAAGTGGACTCCCTGATTCATTTTCCTGTGCTGACGTAGCGTTTTCTCTGTTTTGTAATGTGTGACCAGCGCGTCTTATGGTATATACACATAACCGCATACAAGCCTTGTATCAGGATTGCAGGCGGTTAGGTATTGCGTTGGCCTTAACGCACGCTGTGGCTTTATGCCCAATACGTCATGGTGGGCTCCGAGGGATAATCTCTCGAAGCTACGATGCTTTCAGGGTCCTGATCATGACGCATGAACGTTCAGATGAATGCACGTGCTATGGTACATTGTATAGCGAGAACAAGCGAGCTTCGGCTGGCAGGCTGTTAGGTGTTACGTCTGACAACGGGGCACGCGGCACGCTGATCCTATTTGCCCAGTTAACAGCGCTGGTCCCCGGCAGTAAACCGCCAACAAGAATGTATGGATTGTCATTTAGACAGTTTTGGAATATGTCGGCTAGTGATTTCACTGATCGAAACTAAACTGACACGCTTGAAATCGGCAGATAATACTGAGAGCCGAATTCTCGAGTCCGCACATATCTATTACCTGTTGTTAACTACATACCTATTGTTAACTCTGCTTCTTTTGTGTGCGCGTTGGGATGTGTGCTTCGTTTCAAAGTGTCATAGGTGACCGTTGGACTTGATATTTCAGGTAAACATGCCTTTCATGGTAAAGGCATTTCGCCGCATACGCACCGTGTTTCACGCTTGAAGGGTCGTGTGGGTATTGCGTAGGCCTTAACGCACGCTCTGGTCATGTGCCCTGGAGGCCGTGGCACTGCCCGTGAAAAGCTAACCGGGGCTAGAATATTTCAGATGCCATTTAAACAGCTTTAGAATTATGTCCACTAGTCGTTGCACCGATGGACACCATACTGACACGTTTGAAATGGGTTGATAGTGCTGGCGGCCGAAACGTAGAGTTCGCTCATGGCTATCGCCAACCCTATTGGTAACTCGGAGTGGACTTAGCTTAATGACGTGTCCAGGAATCATTTGGAACACCTTGCAGTAGTTTATAAATGCAGAAAAACTATGTCATGCGATGAAATTCGAGATTTTACAGGAGACGGCCGCAAGGTATATGGAAGTACTTGACTGGAAAGGCAATATGTGGCCTGGCGCTGCCTGCCGAGACCTAGGCAGAGGGACGGCCCAGAAAGAGGTGTCGCCCATACTCATTTTGCATTCATTTTTTTCATTTGTTGCCATAGTGTAAATCTCAACAATCTTGGAAGAGGGCGGGGGCATGAAACGTAAAGATCCCACGTTTCTACGCTTGCAGCCCAAAAGGCACAATGTGATTGATTTCATGTCATGCGTGACTATTACACTATATTTTTCAAACACACGTTTCATGGCATTCACATATAGCTGCATGCGAACCTTGTGTCATGCTCACAGGCAGGTAGGTATTGCGTCAGTCTGAACTTACGCTGTGGGTTTGTGCCTAATAACCAGTGTTTGTCCGTGGTAGTAATCTGCCGAGCGGTGCATATTGCTTTTGTTTTCTAGACATTTTTGAAATGATTTCAACATCATCCAACATTTCAGCATCATGCCACTCTATGATTAATGATTTCTCATGTTTACAAATGTTAACGGCCCACCCATTAAATCATGAATGTACGTGGATGTCAAGTTACCAATTAGTATAGCAGTAGCATGTAGCAAGGGAGAGAGAGAGAGAGGGAGAGAGAGAGAGAGAGAGAGAGAGAGAGAGAGAGAGAGAGAGAGAGAGAGAGAGAGAGAAGAGAGAGAGAGAGAGAGAGAGAGAGAGAGAGAGAGGGAGGGAGAGAGGGAGAGAGGGAGAGAGGGAGAGAGGGAGAGAGGGAGAGAGAGAGAGAGAGAGAGAGAGAGAGAGAGAGGAGAGAGGAGAGAGAACCACATATATATATATATATATATATATATATATATATATAAATACATGTGTGTGTGTGTGTGTATGTGTATATATGCACGTAAATGTATACATCTAGGTAAAATGCTATTTTGGCGACAGACAGGCAAATCTCGCAGAACTTGCACGCTCGCTTCACTGTGTGTTGGTGTGATACGGGTTGGAGTGTTGTAGGTGATCAGTGGAAATGGTGTTCTCATGTTGCTCTGGATCTAACACGGGCTATACGCCCCCGTATGCCCCATCACACGTCACGCTAATGATCTTTGCAATGTTGTTGTCAATTGACTGACCTCATCTCTGCTGCCGTTGCATTGGAAGTCAAATGATGCTGAAAAGTAAAATACTCCATAATGGCAGTTCAAGGATCAACATTGGCTATCAACACCATAAAAGCGCATTAACAGTACACAACGAGCAATACCATATACTTGGCGATTCGTCAGACCTCAGCCGTACAGCCATCCTCGTCATTCCGATGCTCGGTTATGCGTAGGCTGTTGGACACATAAGGGGCCATCTGAACTCGTAACTACCTGCCGCAAATCAAATCAGGGTTAAGAAATGTATTCGAGGCCGCTTAACAAGGCACGCTTCACCGCCTCAATGCGTAACTAGTCATTTTTCGTCATTCGTCATTTGCCTCCACGCGTGGGCCCCTGTATGCTAGTTTTTCCGTGTTGATCTGATTGCGTACCATTTGGATCTATGGCTGGAAACCCCCTTTACATATTCCAGTGTTATTTCTACATCGTATACAACTGGTGCCCTCTTTGGCACGAGATGGCGTGCACTGGCCTATGGTGTCTCTGCCCTCTCCCCACAAGTCTCTCTGCGCACGCTTCCTCAAAATTAACGGACACGCACCATTCGCTCCCTCTCTCGTGGCACCATCATGTTTAATGTCGACAGTATCATAATGCTCTGGCATCTGACGGGGTGTTGCTACATACGGTCGGCTGCTAGACGACTAACGCCTACTATCACGCATCCTGTTTCAAGAGAATTGCAATAAGCACCACAAAACTGCTCTCTGCTACCCTTGCCCCGAGCACACCTCCATTACTAAAGGCTTCGTAAAACGGAAGAGCGAACTGTGCTTATGTAAAAGTTTTGCTATCTTATCCACAT